GAAACATTTGTGTCTTCTTTTAACAATAAATAAAACAGAATTTATCTATTTTTCTATTTATATAATTATCAATGCATTATAGTATGTGTATGGATGTTTGATGTATGTAAATATGTAAATATTTATTTTTAAGCTTTCTAGTGAAATTTGTTAATAAATTGTTTGAATTTATTTTTGAAATTCATACTATGTTAGCACTCTTTTTTAATTAATAAATAAAATTGAGAAAACATTTTTTTATAAATAAACTTCATTATAATACTAGATTTTACTTTTGAATTTTTATGTAAAAAGATAAAAAAAATTTTGAAAAAAGTTTTTTTTTATATTTGATAATTATCCCAAGTAGCTTTAGGTGCACCCAATAAATAAAAATCTAGCTTCTTTTTTTCTATTTTTAATAAACATACAAAAAAGTTCATTAAACCTTTTATTGAGAAATGAGAAAACCTTATTTAGTTTTTGGTTTGAATAACATACTCTCGAGTTCTTAATACGGAGGGGAGGGGGAGGGGGTATATAAGTTTTTTGTGCTGCCACTAATATTTTAATATTTATACCACCTACCAATCTACCATAAAGATAAATATATATACATTCGATTCAAGAATAGTAATAGCTGAGTAAATCAAATAGTTCAAATCAAGTAATGGAATAGTTTAAACAATGTCATTCTGAATGAAAATAACTGACAAATGAGTAAATTTGTAATGGTATACTCCGATATTTTCCTGAGGAAATCTGTTCAATAATTTTTTCAAGGTTAAGTTTTTTTGCCTAATCATTTTCGATGGAGAGTATCGCAAGCGACGTCAATCTTTTTGGCGTTATTAATGTACGTAGGTAGGTTTTAATTAACTTCAATTTGCTAAAACTACGTTTACTGCTGGCCACCGTCAATTGTCAACAATATGCGTATATCAAACTGACGTATAGAATCAAACTGACGTATAGATGTTCATTGTACTGTTCCTCCCCATTTATATCTGAAATGTTTTTCACAGCCAGGTGTTCTTGTAAAATTTTATAATCCTCTTTATATTTGTTCTTTGGTGGTAGTTTTTTTAGGTCAAGTAAGACCTAAAGACCACTTTAACTCGCCTGATTGGCGCCCTTACTTATCAAAATTTTCTTATACAATATATGAAGGATCTTTTTTTTTTTAGTTTTTTTTCATTTGGTGTCCCTTGGATATCTGCCGCCCGGGACAAACTGTCTCTTGCAACCTCTCTCTCGGTGGCACTGGGTGTTTTGTGGTTGTCTGGTGGCTTGTGGCTATTCTGCTAAAATTCAAGCTTGTTCATTTTTTCGAATTACAATCATATTAGACCCATTGTCATAGCCTTAACTTTTACAATTGTTTAGGTCTACTAGACTTTATTTCTTAAATTAGAAAGTTAGAATGAGCTTCACCAGTCGACTCTTCACACTCTGCATACCTAAAAAAGCTTTCTTGTACAATGACTGTTGCTTCGTTTTCTTCATGAACATGGTAGATGGTTAAAGAAGTTTAGCCATTTTGACAAAGGTCTGGAATGCAATCCATAATAACTAAAAAACACTTCTCAAACTTTAGCTTGTCATAGCTTTTTTTAATTGTGAAACTAAGAAGTTAATGACTTTGTTTTGAATATTGACACATTTGTAAACGTCTTTCTTCATCTTTAATTTGTGGTATCCATTAGATTAAATTATTGGATTAAAATTAACCAAGTATTTGGATAAGTACAGCTTTGATGAGCCTCCATGGAATGGAGCATTACATTCGCCAAGTACATAATCACAGCTTGTTCGTTTTTTAACCTGTTTGTTGCCTCGATTCATTTCTCAGAACAACTGAAATAATATGAAGATGTCATATGCATATAGGCTTGCTCTGTGAACTTTTTCCAGTTGTTGAAACCTTCTTTTTTACCCAAAATATGATTTTGGAGTTAAATCAATCAGATGACAAGGTCAACAATCTGAATTAATTTCTCTTTACCATTTCTTGCTACACTATTAAAATTCATTTGAGAAATTAGATTTTTGGTTTTACGATATTCTTTACTGCACTTCAGAAAAAGTATTGGATACATTTGAAAATGTATCCAATACTTTTTGAAAAATGTGGAAAAACTAGTTGAAGTTGAACTTCATAACAGAGAGTTATTGACATTATCTTCCTCTGGTTAGATTGAAGCTGAGTGGAGGTCTCACTAGATGTTTTTAAGGAGTTGAAGAAAGAAAAAAATGTGTTTGCTTTGGCACTTTATTTAAAACAGCTTTATAGGCTGCATCAAAATGTTTGGCTAGTTTTTTTGGCTGATTATTTTTTGAGCACCTGACAGTTTTTTGAACATCTCAAGTAAAATGATATTCAAATTCAAACTGGCAGTGAAAAACCTTATTTTCGTTTCTGGAAACATATATTCTCCATGTAAGTTTTTAACTCATCTTTATAGTCCCTTCTGATTACAGTTTGCAACTCTTTTTATTACAACATTTTTATTAACTTACTTTAACGTAAATAAAAAAAAAATCGTATCGCAAAAAAACTTTGGTGTTAATAAAAGAAATCGTTTAAAATATATAAATAAAAACTTTTTAGAAGCAACATTTTTTAAATAGACTAAAAAAGTAAATTAATGTATATTAAAACTTAATTAATGTAAATTAATACTTAGGTACCGAGAAAAAGTTTATTTTTTACTTTTTAGTCCAACGTTGCTTTTTAAAAATTTCTTTAAATGTATACATTTTGCGTATAAACACAACCTAAAATATCCATTAAAAAATGTCCATTAAAATAACTGAAAGTGTTTGGCGCCCAAGATTTTCATTGCTAATGATATTTTATGAAGTTTTGAAGACAGCTAAAGAGGTTTTTCCGCAACGCCCTGTGGAAAAAAAAGGTATGTTTCGGATCAAAAATCAATAACATTTTTGTTACTAAAGATTAATTGTTGAAATTTTGCATTAATGTAAAGTAGTATACGACGCTTCTAAAGAAATATTTTATAATAAAAAAAAATTTTAAAGTAATGTCTAAACGTATAAGCCAAATCTTAACAGTTTCCCGTGCATCAGTGAAACAAGACTATATTTCACTGTTGTTTATGGAAGTTAAGAAATACTTAAAAAATTTTACAAGTCCTGACGGACCCGTCATGCCTTTGAGACCGTCTTTTTTCTTAACCCGAAAGGAACTAAATTCCTTGCAAGAAAGAGAGATAGGACAAAATATAAACAAGTTAATTCAGATGACAGGGAATGTCTCACAATACTGATTACTGGCGATGCAAAAGGTAGTATTCTAACACTATTAGTGATCGACAAATATGAGCGGCTGCTTATGGAAATAACGCTAAACTTTCCTTCCAGTTGGGCACTAGGATTCCGGTTAGATACAGGCGGAACTATATTATGATTTCTTGGCAAACTTTTTTTCATCCCTGGCTTAAAGTAAATAGTACAACTCTTCCAGTTATTTTATTAGTCAATAGGCATATTTCCCATTTAAATATGCAAACAAGACAGTTCTGCAATCAAAATGGGATTATTTTAATGGCTTTTTATCCTAATACAACGCATACTTTACAATTTTGAAGATTAAAAGAGAATTGGAAACAACATGTTCATGAGTGGCACAGCATTTATTTAGATGACCTCATCTTAAAGAAAAAAGATTTTTCTAAACTGCTTTAAAAAAAAAAAATGTAGATATGCATGTTACTCTGTTATTCTGTGTTGGTCAACGGTTTCCGCAAATGTGGGCCCTACCCCTGGGATTCAACCGTACCTAAGGTTCTAGGAAATAAAAATAATATTACTGTTCAGAATGCTGTGCCAAATGAAGACATACATTCGCGTTTAAAATATCGTCCCCTCAGTATTATCTTGTTCTATCTACAAATTTAATAAATAAAATGCTCTATCTGATATATAAAATAAATACAAAAAAAACAACATATATATATATAAATAAATACAATATTCTACCTGATATAATATATTATATTACATAGAACATTATATTTATTTATATATAATTTTTTTTTTGTATTTATTTTACATATTAGATAGAACAATTTATTTATTTCATTTGTAGATAGAAAAAGATTTTTTTTTTGTTTGTTTACATTTGACGTAATATATAAATTACATTTTTTTAAATACAAACAAGGCTTCTAAAAGAAGATCACAATGATCTTATCGTCAGAAGCCTTTTACAAAAGAGAGTACGTACCATATTATAAAAAAATCCTTTCTACAATAAAAGTACGTAAAAAATCATATAAAAACAATAAATCGTATTTACATAAATGAAATTAAATTGTAAACAAGTATAAAATAAAATTTGAACATACATGACAATAACTTGAACATACATGACAATAAAAATTATTATTATTTTGTTTTTTATCACAAAATAAATTAAAAATATTATAAGATATTTTCAATAGAAAGAATGTGGTTATTTAATTTATTTTTAAAATCAGAATAAGTTAGGAGTAAATCGAAGTTAGGCAAAATAATTTTGTTCCACAGATGAGCTGCACGATAAGTGATACAAAATTGATTGAATTTTGTTCGACAGAATGGTTCATTTAAATAATTATTATTCCTCATGTTAAACTTGTTTAATGGTTTCAAAATAAAAAGATCTTTAAAAATCAAAGAAGATAAATCATGCTTCCACGTATAGGCAAAAGATAAATTTTTATATACGTTTAGTTTATATACATCTAAGATTTTCATTTGATTAAAAAATATTGAGGAATGTGCGAACGGATCCGCAGAATTAATTAAACGGATCGCGTGTTTCTGACGGCGATAGAGACATTGTAACTTGCTTTGATCAGTGCTATCCCAGACTATAACTCCATAACTTATATGACTGTGGATAAAAAAGTAATAAAGTTTAGTTAAATTAATTTTATCTAAATGAGTACGCGTTTTATATTAAATTCCAATACCTTTTTGAAACTTTCGAGCAAACATAGTTAATATGATGTTTC